GTGCAGCTAAAGGCCCGAGAAACTGGGAGGACAGAGACCTAGCAACGCTAGGAAACAGAACTCGCAACACCCAAAACCAACTATATAAAACACAACAAAAAACTACGAACGATCCAAACAAGATAATTCGAATGTACGATTCCAACAGGATAATAAATTCACAATCAGGATTGACTCGTTAAGGCTCAAGTTCGAGGCCTTAACGAACCAAACTCGAGCTCGAGCTCGAGCACCCTCGTTTACAGCCCTACGCATAAGTACCGCCTAACTTGATATTTAACTATTGATTTTAGGTGGCAATTTTAAACTAATCGAATATAATCAAACGAAAACCGCTATAAAATATAAATGCATAGTAATTATATAAAAATAAGAGATCATTTATATCTAAATATATTTAACTGATAACACAATTGGCAAATAATCAATATATGATAATGTTAAAAAAAAACTCACACAAGCTCTTGATAAGAAAAGAGGGATTGCTTTTCACTAGTCAATGTGCATAATTACAACTCTCCTCCCATTGCCATTGTCAAAAAAGAACCCCCTCTTGTGCGGATCATGTATTTTTATATAGTTTATTACAAGGAATATTTAATTTTTCAAGAGACATATATGATTAGTTTGATTCACTATTTCTAATTAGTACAACCATATTGGACAATAAAAGTATCAGGGAATCATTGTGTGGCTACCACGATTTAACTGGAGACAGTTTCCGAGATGGGGGCTGTTTTCTCGAAAAATAGTCAGGCGCAAACCTGAAACCTTGGTATCAAAAAGGTACGAGGGGGAATCAAGGTTGGATTACAATATCATTTGAAGATCTAGCCATAATAAAGACAAATGAAAAATTCTTGCAGAAATTTTCAAAAAATTCTTAAAATATAAACAACTACTTTTGTTTTTGTCACACATTAACGAAAGTATTCATCTTCTGATCGTAGGTGTATTAAATTGTATATTCAATAATTAAATAGTACAATACTATTTTATATAATTTTAACTATTTGATAATACTATATGACTTGAAATTAACAATTTACATATCAATATTGATCATTTATGTTGATCACTTTTTATTATATAATTATAAATATCTAAACACATGTCAATTATTTAATTGGTAATAAACATGCAATTAATCAGTCTAGCAATTAATATTATTAGGATTTAGGTAATTGGGTTCAATTTTTCAATGCTTTATTTAATTTGTATTTCAACTTCATGATGATGAACTCAAGGGAAGGGCTATAAGGCTAATATAGGCTATTAGCCTACTTTTGATTAATTAAATTCTCAAAGACTAAAGTTGTTTCTTGGCCTCTTAATTAACTTAATCGTAGATGACATCAAAATGATTTTCACATGTATATATTGAATTGTCAAAAGGTATATTTAATTATAATATTACTTTATATGTTTTATATTTACATTTTTTATTTTCTAAAATCACATGAACAAATTAATATATGTCAACATCTAGGGCATGATCCTCGTTATTCTATTCTTTTTTT